ATTTATTGGACCCACAAATTAAACTTCAATTCATAAGACACCTTTTCCATGTTAATATGCATCAAAATATTGCCATACTACTCCACAAGTTTACGTTTATTATACCTAAAATTTATACAAAAAAGAAAAAAAACATTCAATTTTTCAAATTTTTAATGTCGATAAAAAACCATACATATACATATATGATATATGCATGTATGTATATAACAAGCATATTAATGATAAATCCTCAAATGCCCCTCCCTTGGATTTCCCAACGATGCGTATGTCTTTCTGACCCTTCCTCCATCATGAGTGTCATATATATGTACACCTTCTCTAAGGGACACAACATCCCCGTGGAGATTCGCCCCACCACCTCAAGTTGTGATGCCATATTTGTTCGTGGATCACATGTTATATTTGTCCTCTTAGCGTCATATTAACTCGTGAATCGTGATCAAGGATTCTTTAGCATGCGTTAGGATCCGATTCTTCCACGATTACATTTCTTTTTTGTTGCAAACATTAACATGAATAAAGTTTCTTAATCTTATTTAATGAAAAGAAAGAAAATTAAATGACATACATTAATTCTATTTGTGAAACATTCTCTTAATCCATTTATTTAGATCCTGCTCCAGGAATCAAACATACAGTGTCTTGAATGACCAGATCAGATTTAATTAATTTATTCTTATTAAAATCCAAAAAGATATTTTGTCTTGTCAAAACATCATTGATAGTTCAAAATAGAATATATAACTAGAAAAAGAAGTTTTTGCTTTCAATTTATCTCTGCAATAGTTTTAAGTGTTTTTTTTTTCTCTCTATAAAGGCAAACAATATAGTAATAAAAACAATAATTCTTTTCTCTGAATGAGAGTTATCACTGCTCAATAACAAAGTTACTATAAGTATTAATTTATTTATCTCCTAAATATAGAGTGGACCAAACTTGTTGCAGGCCTAATGCATGCAAAATTGACACCAAACTTTAATTTGTTATATATACTGTATATTGTCTTAATTTTTATATCTATATATTATGACAATATTAATGTATGTACTTTAGTGATTCAATTTTGGTATATAAATTTCTTTTCTTTTTGGCTTAATACATTGATAATTCCTTAATTTTGTAACTATATTTTACTTAGTTTGCTTGAATTAAGACATGTTGTAATGGAGCACTTGAACAGATAATAAAGTAGTTAGTTCTATTAGACAATTTCAGCTCAACTTTTAGAAAAAAACTTATATCTATTCTCAACCATCCATTACGTAGATAAATTAATTACATATAATATGTTACAACTTGCACACATCAACATCAATTGAAATATGTCTTGAGAGTTGAGGATTTATAGTTTATTAATGCTAATGCATATAATTAAAAAAAATGATATATTCAGATACTCAATCATAAGTCATAACAAATCATGGTCAAAGTATAATTTACCACCAAATTGTAAAAAATGTGAATTGAGATAAAAAGTTAGTGATGTTTTTTTTGTTTCCCACTCGGTGTTCGGAGCCCACAATGGAGCTCTGATTAAATTCAAATTGCGTTTTGCAGGGTCCATTCTGGGGTGGCGCTCCCAACAGGATTTTCTTCATACCCAAGGCTCAAACCTGAGACCCTTAGTTAAGAGTGAAACAGAACCCACTGCACCACAACCCATGGTAAAAAGTTAGTGATGTTATGACTCTTGTACTCTGAATTTCCTTAGCAGAGCACTCTAATATTTTTCTTTCGACAAGCTTTAATGGTCTAAACCTACCCTTTCATATTTGATTCTTTTTTTTGTGCTGCATGCAGGCATTACCCCATTTAAGCCAATACACAGTCTTTCATCCTTAGGGAATTTACTTGAAAAATTACATTTTTGTCCTTCAAATGGTCGGTCTTTAATTTTTGCCCTTAACAATCAAACTTATACACTCTTGGGGACGCGAACATAACTTCTTAAATATTATGAGCGGAAAAAGTTATTTGCTTGAGGAGCAAAAATTAAAGATCAATACATACTACATTAAAAAAAATCTTTAGCGGCAATTAATTAATGACAATAGCTTAATTGCCACTAAATATGTACTTTTAGCGGCAATTAGCACTGTTTGTATATGTGCCTGAAGCCTTTAGCGGCATTGGATCCAATGACAATTAACAAATGCCAGTAAAAGCTTTAACACTTTTTTTAATGTACATATGTACTATTGCCGCTAAAAGGTGTTTTGTTGTAGTGACTAGGGGTAAAAGTTAATGACCCGAATTACTCAGACAAAGGCTTCTAAGCTCTAAATTATTTTGAAATTATAGTCTTGAAATTATAATCTATGGACTAATTTATCCCACCTGAAAAATAGGATAAAATAATTTCAAGCTGAATATGATAAGGTGAGATATCTCAAAATTGTGTCTGAAATTAGATTAAATTAAATTTATGTTGCATTTAGTAGACGGTATAAATTTATCTATCAAAAGCAATATAAATTTTATCCAAGCTAAATCTTATGTTCCACCTTATCCTGCCTATCAAACATACCTTATTATTGTATACATAATAAATATAATACTGAGGGGGACAGTGAAAAAAGAATTTATAATTATCGTCAATTAATATCAAATTCATTTTAAAAAAAAGGTAAATAAATTATGTTGGACAATTTTGAACACTGAATTTTTTGGTATGCAAAGCTGAACACGATGAGTTGAAGTATTCGCGGATTTATGCGAGTTTGTCCTGTACGGGTCACTTGTCATCTCTACCTCAAAATGTCGATAGGCACTTGTCAAAATGTTATCTATAAAATATAAATCATTTCCAAGATTCAAAAATTCAAACTTGAGAACAGTTCGAAATTTAAATTTAGATGTCACAACAGGTTACCTAGTCTGTTTCTTGAGCTATCATATCAAATTTGTTAGTATGAATAGTTGTTATTTTGTACCTTCAAAGGCCAATAAGACTTGGTATACAAATTATTAAAAAATATATATATTTTAAGACAAATACAAATTTGTGCTAAAGTAATTCATTTAATTGTGTAGTTTTCAGTTTTCACTTCAAATAGATTGATCTTTAATTGTATAGCGATAAAGGAAATTTTTGGTATGCAAAGCTGAGCACGACGAGTTGAAGTATTCACGGATTTATGCGAGTTAGCCACTTGTGATCCCTAGCTCAGAATGTCGATAAGCACTTGTCAAAATGTCATCTGTAAATCATTCCCAAGATTCAGAAATTCAAAGATGAAAACATTTTGAAATTTAAACTTAAAAACTACTATCATAGTACTGAATAATGTCCTCTCCCTTTTTAAATTTGTTTTCTCTAATTAAATTAACTTCAGTGACTTTATGACGTAGTATAGTAGTATTATTTTTTTTTTTGTAGAAGAATCTCAAACGCAAATTCCGGGATTATTCCCCCGCAACAAAATACAAAACATGTTCCTGGAGAATTTAAATGTCACAACAAGTTACCTAATCTATTATTTGAGCTATCATATCAAATTTGTTAGTATGAATAGTTGTTATTTTGTACCTGCAAATGCAAATAAGTCTTGCAATAGTAGTTTTAAAAAAAAATTACAAGGGAAAATGTTAATATGTGAGGGGACGTTAAGGAGGATAGAGCCAGGATATGAAGCTTATGAGTTCAAAATAAAGAATTTGATTTTTGATTTTTGTCCTTCAAATAGACTGATCTTTAATTTTTGCCCTTAATAATTGAACTTGTACCTAACAAGTAGTGACGAGTTTAAAGATGAAATATCAGGCTCATGAACCCCTGATCCCACCATAAAACTAGGTATTTTATATATGAATTTTCTCAAACATGAATGCTAAATGGTGCATGAATATTTAGTCATTCACCTGAAGGACTAGGGATCAATTGTTAGTTAATACACTTTTTTTTTAAAGGATGCACTCATTCTAGAAACGGGGAACAAGTTCTTTAACGCATGACATAACTTGAGTATTATAATGTGAAAATATCTACTTACACCCCGCGAAAAAGAATGTGAGGGAGGGAGGGATGAAGGCAGAGCCAGAGCCAAAATGTGAAGCTTATGAGTATTATATAAAAGGTAATATTCATTAATAAGACAAATTACGATTTGTGCAAAAGTAAGAAAGTACCCGACACTCTAGGTCCGCCCCTATTGATCGAGGATAGGTATAGGTATAGAGGAGTTATGAGATAGAGAAGGAAGAAAAGCAGAAAGTGAGTAGTAGTTTGTGAGATATGCAGTTAAATGCAAAGCGACAAAATTTTGTAGTGTAAATAAGGTAGGAAGTAAATTAAATGTTGGAGATGGAAGAAGATGAGGGAAGAATAGTGTGATAGGGCCCCAACAAGGAAAGATCTGCAACTTGTCTCTTCAGACATTGCTTAAATTTTGCTTTCAATGCCCACACACGGCATTTCCGTGCCCTTTTATCATGCATTTTTTTTAATTCAATACCAACTTGAAATTTTTATGTTTCACCATAGACAACGACACCAACCTGGGTTGTGGTGCAGTGATGAGACTGTTTCATCCTTAATCAAAAGTATGTCTCGATTTCGAACCCTAAATATGGAGAGTATCTCCCACAAATGGATCCTGCAATGCACAATTCGAATTTAGTCGGACTTCGAATATTGGGTAGCCTGAAAGGCAGAGGAGGAGTAAATGCACTGATGGGTGAACGCATGGGAGTGCGTTCTATGACAAAATGCGGAACAAGAGAACGACACTTTACTTCTTCAATGCCAGTAAAATCAAATCACCAAAGAGATAACTACTACAGGTAAGTTCAACGGTAGAAAAGATTTGACTGCTAAGACTGATGTACTATGTAGTGTAGAAGAACTTTTACCCATTAATACTGTAGTCTAACCTGTTGTAGGAGGTAATGTGACATCCTAGTTTAGGAAAAGAGTCCTATGTCTGAAAAATACAGAAAAGATGATGGGTATATAGCCTTACACTTTAGTGACACATTTTAAAGTCGTGTGGTGCAAGTCTAGAGCAAACAATATCACTAGTCATATGGACATTGCAAATGATATCAAAATCATTCATATGTCAGTCTTGTCGATGGTCGGTCAAAGCTCAACTAAGTTTAGGCAAATCGGTAAAACCTCAGTACTAATAGTATGCGACACCCAGTGGCGAAGTCATCAAAGTTACGACTAAGGAGTGTCAAAATAAATCATGTGGAAACCAAGGAGTGTCTATATATTATATATGTATGTATACATAAAAAAATATTCTTACCTAGCTACACGGTATAATTTTTCGATAAAGGAGTGTTGAGTATATGTCACTTTGCTGCCACTGATGACACCCTAGCTTAGAATAAGAGTTCCACATTGCCAAAACACAAAAGAGATGCTCGGTATATAAGTAAGCACGCTTTTCACCCTAACAACACGTTTCAAAGAGAGCGGACAATATTACTAGGCCTCTCAATTTTCGCGTTACCAATTCATATTTTTCTAGTATCAGAAATCACCTTTCACATTAACTATCCTCGCCAACCCTTTCCAGCTCTCTCTTTCACTGTGCACGCAGTATACTTGTCTGCATGCATGCACCACTCATTAGAGCAACAACAAGAATGAAGAAGCTAGAAGGTACTTGCCAGTTGCCACAACAAACACTGAAATAACAAATAACCAAAAAATTATTTAACTGGAGTTCATTATAGAGTCATTACATATATATATATATATATATCGTTGTCATACAGAATTGATTCAGCAAACTACTCAAGTTGCTTTAGCAGACAACAAAAATGATACATCACCTAATATTATAACCTTATTTGACCTATAACCTAACATTTTTATGTTTATTGTTTGTGACAAATTGTGTCAAAACCCTTCCGCGATTTTCCAGTATCTTTTCAGTTTCCATAATTCTAAGTTTTCATAGCTAACCTAGATCTTCTGGTGCTAATCTTTCTTTGTTCCTTCGGTTCTATGTATTTCACTTAGAGGTGTATTCTATCTATCCAAATACATATGATTTAAAATGTACGATAAAGTGGACACAAAGATATAATGAAGATTTCCAACCACCACAGGTTTGCATCTGGGATGTCCCTTGAATCCATGCCAGGGCCATCTTAACCCCTAGGCCACTAAAGCAATCACTTGGGCCCCATATTTTTGGGGGCTCCCATTTTTTAAAAAAAAAATATACTTATGAATGTTATTTTAAAAAATATATATATATATGTACTATAGTGCTATGATTTCTATTTAGAAAATTGCATATGAAGTGAATATAGAACCTGAATTTCGTAAAAAATAATTTGATGAAAATATTGATAACGAAATCACAAAGTCCCTTGAAACTAGAGTTGATTACTTAAGATATATATATATAGTAGATCATGCTATCTTTTTCACTTCAAAATAGATTTGAACCAATTGAAGCATATGAAAATATTTTATGTTTCTTCTTTAGTGGTAAATTGAGATCACTAGATGATGAGAATTTAAAAACATTGTCTTAACCTTGAACTTCTTTTTTTATGACAAGGGAAACCCGCAGCCGCTACCCTTTGGGTGTGCACAGGGTAAAACCCTCGCTCCTATGCAATAGCTCGCAAATCACATATGAGAGGTAACCCACACTAGGCAAGCTTGATGCGACGAGCTCGACCCAGAAGGCAAACCCCTTGCTTTCGCTGGCAAGGGGTTTCGAACTTGAGGCCTCCAACATGAAAGTCCCAAGCCCAAACCACTGGGCCATCCCGAAAGGTTGTCTTAACCTTGAACATTAACACATAATAGTTATTCTGCTATTGATGATTTAGATTTATTTTTTGAATTGAAAGTGTTAAGAGAAATAGTACATGTAGAAGATAGTGATCTAATGAAAATGCACAATCAAATCAAAGACTTGATTCTTTTCTAAATACACATTTTGCTTATAGAATTATGTTAACAGTTTCTCTAACCGTTGCCTCAGCCAAAAGAAGTTTTTCGAAACTAAAATTTATTAAATTTTATTTAAGATCAACAATGTCTCAAGAGAGATTGAATGAATTAAGCTATATTATCAAATGAAATGGAAATAATAAAACAAATCGATTATAAAACAATAACTAATGATTTTGCAACTAAAAAATCTAGAAAGTAGATTTTAAATAAAAGTACATATGATAAAAAAAAAAAAATATTAGGGCCCCTCCCTTAAATTTCGCTTTAGGCCTCCAATCTTGTTGAGTCAGCCCTGATCCATGCTTTACCCTAGTTGGAGGGGCGAACTACAAGTATATACTATTGGATGAGGTACATGATGCATGTTAATTGCATACGATATTAAGATAGTTAGTGAATTAGCAAAGCAACAAACCATAGATGATAATTATGAGGAAGCGCCCTGGAGAGTAAGGTTTTAGGTTAAACTGAAATAAAACAAGAAATGCACGTTTCAAGTTTAATCCTCATAACGTGGGACTAAAAGGGATTCCGGTGCCTAAATGCACCCAATTCATATGTGTGAATGGCATGATAGACGATTTACTTAATTAACACACACCAAAAATAAGACGGTAAAACTGGTGAAGTATTGTGGAGTACTGTTATACAATAAGATGAATATATCAATCAAACTTGAAATGTTTAGTAGACCGGTTGTAAAACCAATAATGTTATACAGAATTCAATATTGAACCTCTAAGGCCCAACACATCTACAAGATCAGAGTCAAAAAATCCAGATATTGAGATGGATATATGAAAATACAATATCGAAGAAATATAATGACCGCATTAGACAAAGGTAATGCCTGTTATGATCTATCATTTCTAACGGACCTCACAATAAATCGGTCCATAAGTACGATATGATGATAAGTAAGTGTGACAAAAAAAAAAGTAAATCTAAAATCACATAGAAAAAATGTCTCATAAGTGTTAAAATCCTTCAAAATCAACCTAAAAGTATAACATTAGAAGTAAAAGGATCCACATGGGCGACACTAACTAATTGGAATTATCGTTTGGATTCTTCTCAGTCATGTTGAGATTGTATCTCACTCTAAGAATAATTGTTATTATATTAAGAAACATCAAACTAATCTTAAAATACATTAATTTATCATTTTTAGATCAAAATGGATGCAAATAGAACCCAATGGATATAAGTGATTCATATAAACAACCCCAATAAATTTGAAACTCAATTAATTGATTGTTACTCTTAAAATAGACTAATTTGACATCTAAAACTCAAACGGATGGAGTCAAAATTAAATGTCAGTAATCCTAACTTTACACATTAAGCATATCCCCAAATTTGAGTTTTCATACTTTTTTTAAAAAATATTTCAAAAGTTGGCGGCCGACAAGAAAAGAAGTGGTTACTACCCTTTACTCTTTTTTTAAAATTTTTTTATGAATTATGTCCAAGTGGAAGTAAAACTTAGTAGGGAAATGAAATGTTATTATATTATTAAAGGGCATATGGAGAGATGCATTAGATGGCATATACTGCAACCTGCACACAAACATAAATGAGAATGCAGGACAAATTTTAAAAACAAAGACAGTAAATATGCGGGGTCCTCCTAACTTCATTCATTTCACAATCTGCAAACTCATTTAAGATCACCACGAAATGTATGAGCTATACATTACTCCCAATTTATTCATTTTTGAATCAATAACCAATCAGCTTTAGCAAATCCAAAATGTATGTACATAAATCCACGCAGGCAAACATATTTTATATTTGGAGCTGAAATTTCGGGAGTTTTAGGGGATTGTGATACCCAATAATAAGAAGGGGGGGGGGGGGGGGGGGGGGCCTGAAAACTACTACAGTATGCCAGCCTAAAAAAC